GGCTGGAGCTGGATATTTTGCAGGGGTTTCCAGTTTTACTGGCAGTGCTGTTCTCCTGAGCTTTCGTTCACTTCTTCCAGCTCCTCACACATCTATCAGGGCTCAAATAAATGTGATATATTGACGCTTCATCAGTTTGAAATGAACTGCAATTACCAAACAGAGGATTTGTTTAATTTACCTCCAGCCATCCAGAAGTTAAGCATCTAGCTTAAACTCTTTGTGAGGGGAGAGGGGTGGACACTGCCAGAAGGCAATTGCATTTCTACTTATTTTAATTATCTTTGTCTAGGATCACACTCTAGAATCACACTCTGAAATGCCTTGCCTCCCTATGACTGTGGAGGAACCTACAAAACCAACTTTTAGATAATTAAGGTGTGGTGACTTGAAACCCACCCTCAATATTTGTTTATAAAGCAGCTGTGAAACATGAGATTTTGAAGGTGGAGACAGAGAGGGGGGTGTGATGATCACCCATGGTGACTCTAAGAATAGCAACCTGGCCTCTAGCCTTTAAGTTTTGCTCATCCAGAGTGTTTCAGATTTTTGTAGTTGAAATACAAAGAAGCATCTGTCAATTATAAAATTAATCTTGCCCTATAAATTGCTGCCTTCACAAGAACAGGGCTGTAGAAGGGTAGGAAGAAGGAGACACTGAAGATGTCCCAAGAGAGAGAAGGCCAGCAGGGGACTTTTAATAATTTAACAGCAGTTGGATAGTGAGCCCATGAGGTTATTTCTACACAGGACTTTGAACACACACCAAGATATTCTAACTTTCAACCCCTCACTCTCTGAGCTGATTCAAAGTGAATAATTTAGAGAAAAAAATCTCTTGAACAGTTTGCCAGGGGTTATGAGGCTCATCGGAGCAGCCTGGGTGTGCCACCTCTGCAGGTGCTGGGCGACTGCAGAGACAGGGGGCAGGGATGGTGCCAGCTGCAGTGGGGTTGCTGTCCCTCTTCAGCTGCTCTGCTTCTGGCTTCAGACATTTCAGGAGACTTTTGTTCGTGAGCTGCCCTCCAGCTTTTGTCCAGCGGGTGCCATGCGGGCAGCAGTGGCTCAGCAACGCGAGTAACGCTGCTCAGCAATCCGAAAGAGCCAAATTTGGGTGGCTGCAGATGAAAGCCAAGGAGAGCAAACAAAACCTGAGACAGGGGCAGCCTTCTTGCCATTGAAGCAGTCAGAGCAGCCACTCGTTTCTTGCACAGCTTAAGTGCTTCAGTTGAGTTGAAGGAGTAAAAGAATTCCTAAAGGACACGAGTCTATTGAACACACTGAGTAGAGAATAACGTCCTTTACTGAAAGAGACACCCATGGGCAGGTCCCCTCTTTGCAGAGCTGTGAAGCCCTTTTCTGCCACGGTGGGGCTGCCCAGACATACCTGAGCTGGTTTTTAACCAGCTGGCCCAGGCACTGCTAACAGAGCTGAGTGTGGGCTGCACAGAAACCCTGCACACGAATTTGCAGCAGCGGACCCTGTGACCACAGCCTCAGCAGAGCCTTGGCTGGGCTCAGGGTCAGCTGGGACTGACGTGCCCACTTTGGCTGGACCCTGCCCACAGACAGCTTCTGTCTGTCTTGTCAGCTCTGGAGCCAGTTGCTGAGCCCATGTGAGAGCCAGTGGTTACCAAGTAAATGTGAAAGTTGCTAGTTCTGGCTACAGACTCTGGTCCTGCCTTGTTGTCAGGATGCCGCAGGACCAGACAGCTTGGAGTCTAGACTGCAAGGGTATTTACCATCTAATATCTTTGGCTGCGGGACCACAGAAATCTCGTTCCTTGAGGAAGAAGTTCAGGAATAGCACTTTTCCCTCTCTGCCAGCTGGATCACATTTGTGGCATCTTTGAGAAAGAGGAGCATTGCCTTTGCAGCTGAATATCTAATGGTACAGGCAATTTTTTTTCAGGCTTTTTTCTGGATTTGCATGCCATGTAAACTGTTCCCAAATCCCTTAGACACCTAAATGGAGGCAGCCCTAACCTTGGTTGATAAAGCATCAGCAGCTGCAGAACAGGATTTTATGAAGTTATCTGTACAGAAGAATGTGGCTGTGTGTCATGCACAGATCCAGAAAACTCCACTGAGATTTGCATCAATAGTGAAAAGTTACAATTAGAAAAAAACAGGACAAATCAAGTAAAACGATACTGACTTCTCCTTCTCAGTTTTATTGTATCAAGAGTGGGAGAATATGGTACACTGAAAGAGGGAAAGATGGGTAAAAATTAAAAGTATTCCCTTTGTTTTTCTTTAACCATAGAGCTTTCCCCTTTCTTTCCTGTATTTTCTAATGAAAAGAGAAAAAGTGATAAACTGTTCTTAATCCTGCTTTTTTAGTCTATAGAAACTACAATAGCCAAATCAAATGCCAAAATATTGCTAAGACACTCCTTTTATCTAATTTTGTTGATACACATAAAACCAAAAGGTAGTGAAGGCCATCTAGGAAATGTCTTTCTTTTCATCTTTTTTGCCAAACACTTCACAGGAAAAAAAATCTGATCAGCCCTAGAAAAAAACCCCAACATGATTGAACAGGGCAGTTGCTTTGTCTTTCAGGCGCAGATGCACAAATATGGATAGGTTTATATATAAATATATATACAGTAACAAAACCTCAAATTCAAATACACCTGAGCTTTGGGGAAGTTTGTATATTCATTCAGTCTTTGTGGCTTGGGCTCATCTGTAACAGAAATATTTGCAAATAGACAGAATACTTCCTCTTTAATCTTATCTAGTGATCTGTCTGTTTGTCTGGGTTTTTCCTAGAGATGGCCTCAGATCCTGATATCTAAGGGCTAAATTAAGGCAAGATCATACCAAACTTCACAGAGGCCTTTTTTTCCTCTTGTTTGCCATGGGCATTTATTTCGTTTTCATTCATTGGGATGAAAGACAGAGCAACCACTTAGCCTGGCTCAACCTCTGCTGGCCCCATGCTTGGCCCACCTTTCGGAAAATATCTTCTTTTGACTGATGGTTTCTTGTTCTATGGGCAGATTGCAGCTGAGATGAGCAAAATGCCTCTGCAAGGGCTGCAAGTCCTCCTTCCTGGGGCTGTACTAGAGCACTGAGCATATTCTGACCATTCTGACCTCTGGCTCCCAGTTCTGGTGTCTCTGCCAGGCCAGGCAGTGTCCAAGGGTACCTCACTGTACTGATTTGGCTTGGTGGGCCACAGAAGCTGAGAAGCTCCCCCTGCTCCAAAACCCAGCCAAAGATCCATTAGAGGGACAATAGATGCATCTCTGCCATTAACATACGAAAAAACTGAGATAAGAGCTCATCAGAGAGGCACTTAAAGGAGAAGAGCTGTGCTGTGGAGGCAGAGTGATGCTGGTGGTTGGTGAGGAAGAAGGGGAAGAAGGTGCCCAAGCAGAAGTTTCCCTGCAACCCATGGTGAGATGGCAGCTGTGCCCCTGCACTCGTGGTGGAACGTGGTGGGACATTCCCTGGGTGTGCCAGGAGGGGTGAACTTGGCCAGTGGACTTGGATTTTGTGGCCAGTGGATTTGCTGCCTGTGGACTCTGATTATGCAGCTGTGGAAGACCCCGGAACCAGGGGAGTTTGTTCCCGAAGCAGCCATGACTCTGTGGGAAGCCCAGGCTGGAGCAGCTCTGGACCTCATGAGAAGGACTCATGAAGGAGAAGTTCACAGAGGACTCTGCCACGGGAGGGACCCCATGGGGAAGCAGGGAAGGACTGTAAGGAATCCTTCCTGAGGAGGATGGCTTGGCAAGAACCACCAGCCCGTGAACTGACTCCAAACCGCATCCCCATCCCCCTGTGCTGCTGGGAACAAAGTTATTTGGGCCCAGGAGAAAGGGAGGGGTGGGGTAACACATGCAAGCCCTGCTCTGTGTGTTGTCTGTGTCTTGTGTCGGTTTGATGAATGTGAAATGAAATTATTATTTTTTCCCCAAATTGAGCCTGTTTTGCTCAGGACCTTAATCAGTGAAGAACCCTCCTTGTCCTTTTTCTCAACCCATGAGCTTTGTCCTCCTCATCCCAGAGTGTATGTGTGGGGGAATTGAGTGAGCGGCCATGGGGCTGCTCCTTTGTTGTCCTGTTGGGCCCAAACCGCTACACTCACTAGCTCTTCAGGTCCTAGATTCATACCAAAGAGCTCTTTCCTCATCCACAATGAGGGTTGTTCAAGGTTTCATGCTTTCAATGCCTCCTTTAGGCAAGCCACTGCAGCTTGGCAATACGGAAAATATGTGCCATGTTTGCCTGGCTAATTGCTGTAAATTAGCTGAGCCCATTTATGCCCGTGAAGAACCCCAGGCACCGCTGGCAAGATACACCCAGCTAACTGCTGCCCAGCCTTTGGTTCACACTCTCTCAGAGGACAAAGGGTTGATGAGGCTGTTTGGTAGCTGTTCAGACCAAGCTTAGACAACTACCCTGCATTGTATTTTGAACAATTTATCACGGCCCTTACCTGCGTTGGTAATTACAATTACCCCTGAGATTTAATGCACCGGGAAGGGCTCCAACTTCAACAGAGCCAACCCATGCAGTGTGGATGGGGAGAAACAGGAACATTTTTAAGAGTTTTATTGTTTTCTTTCCTGTCTGTGTCCCCCCACATTGCTCAGAGGGGTTTTGTCACCTCCCCAAGCATTTAACTGTGGGTGACTTCTCACCACTTCAGATTCTCTGCATTCTCCATGTGAGACCTCCCCGATTGCTACCAGTGCTTGTGTGGTTAATGGGTGAGAGGAGGGGAGCGAGCACATCTGAAAGGAATGCAAGAAATATAAACAATTTTATTAACAAGACCACAAAACTATTTTTTAATATATGCAGCCATTTACAAGGAGGAAATAAACAAACAAGCAGAAAAGCCCACTGGGGAGACATGGCTGGGCTCAGGGAGCACAGAACTGGCACAGTGGGCACGGGCAGGTTTGAGTAGGGTCCCTTTCCTCCACTCAGCCTCCACCATGGGCTGTCCCCGGCCACCAGCAGCCCCTGCAGAGGTGGCACTAAGGAGGTGGGGTGCCCCCCGTGTCCTGCTGCGGTGCCAGGGAGGATGCCAGCTGTGTCAGGGCCCGGGCGATGACGGAGAGGTGCCCGTTCATCGTCCGCAGCTCTGCCAGGATGTCGCTGACATTCGCCGACACCTGCTCGGGGCCGGGGCCCACGGCGTGGGCAGCGTGGGGTGGGGGAGCAGCCCCTGGAGCCCTGTCTCCCATGGGTGCCCCCTGGGGATTGCCATCGCGGGAGGGGTGTGGGGGGGTGCTGCTGCAGCGCTTCATGCCTTCCAGGGAGCCCGCTGGTACGGGCGGCTGGTCTTCCTCCTTCTCACGAATGGTGGCCAGCGTTGCAGAAGCAAGGAAGGGCAGCCAGTTTATGAGGTGGGTGGCACTGCCCGGTGGGACTACTGGCAAGTAAAGTCCAGGGTGCAGGGATGGAGTAGAGGTGGGCAGTGCAGGAAGAGAAGGGAGGCTGGGGTGCAGAGCGGCAGCCGAGGTTGATGTTGATGGTGGAATAGGAGGAGGTTTGGGATGTAAGGCTGCAACACAGGCAGGTAACGGTGGTGAAAATGATTCGGTACCAGCATCAGAGGAAGAGGAGGGTGATGCTGGAGCTGTGAAAGGTCCAAGTTCTTCAGAGGTCGGTGGCGAAGTGGCAGCAGGTGGAGCATCAGGCGTGCAAGGGTCTGAGTCTGCAAGGAAGACACATCGTGAGCCCTGATTCACAAGTGCATTTACATGGACCGATGCTGTCACTTCAGTGGGACTAGGCCTTTGTGATGAAAGGGGGAATTTAATCAGCTGGTAGTGATACTCTCTGTACACTAATGACAAAGTAACAGACATACACAAAGACAAGAGCTTACTGTAGGTAAACATGCAACTTCACATTAGAAATTTAAATTATTCTTTCACTCTCATTCTTCATAAAGCCTGTGGACAAGGCCATTTATTTTGGTTGATATCTCATATGCATTCATTAGCTGGTGAATTACCTACTGTGTTTTGCTGGCCAGTCATGGAACGATGGTAATATCCTAACTGACTCAGATCTCCTGTGGAGATGTGAAGGCTGCATGGCTCCTGCCAGAGCCAGAGTTAATTGCTGCTTTATAGAGGGTCTCAGTTTTCAGCATTCTGGTTTGAATGGACGGGTCAGCACCAGAAACAGTAAGAGCTAGTTGGTGGCTTAAACTCTTCAATAGCTGTACATTTTTTGTGGAAGCATGGCAGAGTTCACACAACTAAAATGTATCTCCCTGCCTGTAGATACTTAGCAGCTTTAGCTATGAAAATCAATAGAGGCAGAAAGAAATTGTTGACACTGTGCATCCCAGCTTGACACCTATGTGACCGTTCCCCATAGCCACCTTGCCAGCAGTTCAGAGGACCTCATCCAATGTCCTCTAACGCCATTAGAAACATGCTTTCTGGGGCTGAATGGAACACAGAGAGTGTAGGATGACAGAGCAGCCTCGGAGGAATATGCAAAGGCTTGGAGATCCATGCTATGGGCAAAGGAGCTCTACCCACTGTGCCCAGTTGGTAAATACTGTACAGTAAGGATTATCTTATTTTTACAATGATTCTGAAAGACAGAAATATAGTAGAAAATATTAGCCTTCAACAGCCTCAAAGATCTGCCTAAGTGGAATTATTATATCACACCGCAGATCTTTGTTTTAGCATTGGGAACACATTATACAGAAGGTGGTGAGATGCTACAGGAATCGTAAGTGTAAGACAGATGGATTTTAAAACTACTTCTACTGCCAATTAAGTGTAAATTGGAAGGCATTCTTGTGGATACAAAGGCACAAATTAATAGATTTATCTAGGTTAAGACAACCTAGAGAAAGCCAAGTACTGAGGTGTTAACACCACACTATTATTACTTCTGACATCTAAAAAATCTGATGTGAGAAATCGGTTTTTATTGCTGGCTGGTTTGGCATTCCAGATAGCAAAATGAAACTGAGAGTCAAAAGCAAATTAAACAGTGTTCCCTGTCATTTCTAACAGCAAACCAATTGGATATGCAGCCTACAAAAGTTCATCCTTGTTCCACATGAGACCATCATGTTTTCCCTGACCAAATACATATATTGTTTGGATAGGATTATAATACAAAATTCAGCATGCCCTCATATCCCTGTGATTTTTATGGAAAGTTACTGCAGGTTCCTTGGAGGTCTCCCTCCTTTATGTATTTGCTTTCTTCCCAATACAAAGTCCCTGCCTACACAAGCATTCAATCCCTGTTCACTAAGGGTGGGCTTAAGATGCTGGATGTTGGGATTCCAAAATGTGATTGATTTGGTTTCGGTTTTTCAAAACAAAAGCAAAAATAAAGTAGAGTTCCATTTCTATCCAAACCACCAAAATTTGCCAAGGGTGAGATGAAAGGTTCAGGTTTTGGCTCAACTGTAGTGTTAACCAGAACAGTGTTTATGGTCCATATATAGCATGGCTAATCCCTGTCCACACTGGCCAAACAACTCAAGTTAAGTGTAATGGTTTTCCATACATTGGAGAGCAGAGGGAGATCAACAAACACTGAGGTAATCTGGTTTAGCACTGTGACAAGTAACTGTCGCAAATGGTTAGGAATAATTTGGGTTAAAATAAATGCAGTAGTAAATACAGACAAAAAATAGAATCTGGTCACCAAAGGCTCTGCAATCTTTCCAAATAAGAGTGGCTTTCCTATCAGAACCCACAGCTTTGTCATTCTCCTTATCTCCCCCCGTTAAGATTTATTTATGCCATGTAGCCCTTTAAACACATCTTGCCCAGCTTGCTCAGGCTCCCACACATTTCCAGTTAAGAAATTCCACACGGACATCTAGGCATCTCATCCTTTAGGAGAACTGGTTTTCTGAGATGGGGTTCACGGCACCTTTAGCTTGAGCAGCCTACAGTACAGATGTCTACGTCTTATCTAGTTCTCAAGCCTTTCTTCACAGGCAGTGGATTAAACAGGTCTAGCATCACCTCCTTATTGTCAAAATGAGAAATATTTGTCCACATCTCTTTTCTGGGAATATTGTAGGATAACTAACTCAAACGTGGATGCTATGCACTGAAAATGCCTACCTTTAAAAAAGGAGTCCTATACCAGGTACATAAAAATAAGATGGGTGCCTTGCTTAGAAACTTTGGATGCCTGACATTCACTGCCCTCCTGATCTACTATGGATGACCCAAAAACTAAGAACATCTTTGTGTTACCTTTTTGTAAGTAATAGGGAATATATCTGCATTGCCACCTCTGAGAGGACCTAAGGGTGTTAAAACCTCACTGGACTGTCAATAGGACCGGTGATATCATAATGAGAGAGAGCAGAGGAGCACCTCCAGGAGAGGGTTTCCTGGTACTTGTCCTGTCCATGGTGATGGCTGTTACCAAAAGACTAATGGGTTGTCCTGTGAAAATGGGGAAACTAAACTTAAATGCATTAATCTGTATGAGAAGAGAATACATTTAATTTTTTCATGCAGACTTGGCTATCTTAGCTGCTTTTGTTCAAGTACTGATTTTATCTCCTTTGTAGCCAAATTGCTGCAAACTCTGATTTCTTAGTCTTTTGTCAGCTAACAAGAAAAGGTCTATGAAGGAGAAACCTTGAGGGAAAAGCAGAGGCATGACTTTCCACTGGCTAGCACACTGCATGGGATTCAGTTCATCTAACATGAGCAGTTTAGTTGGCATCTAGTGCAAGGCTCCAGCACAGAAAGAGGCAACTTTGGGGACAAGCCATCCCAAGCTATCAGGTCCCTAAGAAGGGAGGGAGGATCATGCTCTGGAGTGTCCCTCCCCTTCCAGCACTTCTTGTAGGACTAAGTTAAACATTGTAGATGGGCTGACTAACTTCTAAATGGCTAAAGTTGCATGAGCTGGATTCCTCATTTTATATGAGATGTAGCAAGAATTGGAAATTCATAGAACTGTTTTGGTTGGAAAAGACCTTTAAGATCATCGAGTCCAACCAATAACTGAGCACAGCCAAGTCTAGCTAAACCATGTTCCTAAGCACCACATCTACACATTTTTAAAATACCTTCAGGAATAGTGATTCAACCACCCCTTTGGGCAACCTGTTCTAGTGTTTAACAACCCTTTCAGTGAAGAAACTTTTCCTAACATCCAATGTAAACCTCCCCTGGTGCAACTTCAGGCCATTTTCTCTTCTTTTATTACTTGTTACTTGGGAGAAGTGACTGACCCCCACCTGGCTACAACCTCCTTCCAGGTACTTGTAGAGATCTCCCCTCAGCCTTCTTTTTTCTAGCCTAAACAACCCCAGTTCCCTCAGCCACTCCTCATACGACTTGTTCTCCAGACTCTTCAGCAGCTTTGTCACCCTTCTCTGGACTCACCCCAGCACCTCAATGTCCTTTTTGTAGTGAAGGGCCCAAAACTGAACACAGGATTTGAGGTGTGGCCTCACCAGTGCTGATTGCAGGGCAAATTTTCCTAGCAAATTTTCTATAAAATAAGAATAATATATGAGTAGTGCTGTTTCTGTGTTCCTGTGGAAATCATAAACCCAAGGAGACAAGATTGAAGGTGCAAGAAAGAACAGACTTAGGCCCCTAGAGTGCATAAAAAAATTACCTGGTGGTTCAGAAGGTGATATTTTTTCAAGAGAGTCAGCACTGAACAATGAACCCATTTCACTGATAAGGATATTAGAATGTTGAAATGAGTAATGCAGTCCCTTCAGCAACACAGCAACCTGCAGGAGGCCTTTGTGCACTGTCCTTTCTGCTTGGGTTTATGAAGTTGCTCTAAAGCCAGCAACGTCTCTGTGTGTGCACACTCCCACTTGGTTCTGCAGCTGCTTCCCAAGAAAGCCTAAATATACGTCTGCCTCCTCTTTCTGGTAAGAAGTGAAACTGAAGTCCTAGCAGCTTGTGGTAAATTAAAGTCCAAGAGCTACGTTGTGTAAGCAAGGGCAGTACTGTGTTTGCACGCACAATGTCCATCTTTGGGAGCTGAATGGAAAGCCATCCCTCCTGTGATGCTTGGGTTTGACTCAGATACAGAGTGGTATTTCTTCCTACTGCTGGTCTGCAGTCAAGTTCAGAAAGACTTCGAGCTGTAAATCAAGTTTAGAAGGGATTAAATTACAGCATTGGACAAAGAGACTAGAGGACACTACATAGGAATAGGTCTGAACAAAAACATCAGTGTGAGCACTCTGGAATCAGTGTTTGCATATGTGTGACTTCAGGAACTCAATTTTGTTCCAGATGTTGTGTCCACCATCTTTTCTTTGTATATATCTAAACTAGGTCTGAATACTGATGTGCTTTTGGGTGAGCAGCTTAGGAATGCATAAAAAATTCATAAAAGGAAGCCTATTGTTCATTATTTGTTTACATAAAGAAAATCACATTTAGAGCCTATGAATATACTGCTCTCTAGATACACAGAAATATCCCAAAATATAAGATATACCAAGGTATTGCAATATTTAATAACAAAAGTGTTTTCATATAATGAAATATGCCCACTCAAGATCAGGGGTCTTGTACGAAATATTAATTTGAAAAGCCACATCACCAAGTCACAGTGTTCAAAATCAGCCCTGTTCCTCTAGTTTTCAAACTTAGTCTCACCCATCATTCCCACATTAATTTATTTTTTTTAAAGAAAAAAAAAAACATATTATAGAAATAATTGAATAATTGTACTTTACCAGAACCATACTGTAATGGGGCACATGGCAAAAAGTCTGTCCCAGAGTCCAAGACATTTCACAGAAAAATACCCCAACTCTGTCTCTGTGCTGTCATAAACTGCTGGTTGAGTCACTAC